CTAAAAATCAATTTGAAGATTAAAACTAGATAAACTTGTCAAATGAGAGAAGGTAAGTAACAAAGAGGTTAAGGCTACAGAGGGAAATTCAGGCTGATGTAGATGTTGGAATCCATACATTTATAAAGTCAAACTTATTGAGGTATAATTTAAATGCAGCAACACTCACCCTTCTTAGGTGTGCAGTTTTGAGTTTTGACAGATGTATACAATCATGTAACCACCACCCTAGTCAAGATAGAGAATCTTTCCTTCACCCCCAAAAGTTTCCCATGTCCTTTAGTAGTCAATCCTTTCCTCTCACCCCTGGCTCTGGCTACCACTTATCTGATTTCTATCCCTATAGTTTTGCCTTTGCCAAAATGTCACATAAATGGAATCATACATTTTTTAAAAATATGTTTTTATTGATCTTAGAGAGAGAGAGAAGGGGAGAGGGAGAGAAAAAAACATGGATGAGAGATACATTTATTGGCTGCCTTCTGTACGCCCCCTATTGGGGATCGAGCTCAAATCCTGGCAAGTGCCCTGACCCAGAATCAAACCTGCAATCTCACGGTGCACAAGATAATGCTCATCCAACTGAGCCATACTGGCCAGGGCAGAATCCATACATTTTTGAGAAAAAAATGTTGTGAATATTTTAAAAACTCTTCTCAAAAAACCTTTTGAGAAATAAGTTTTATGTGGTGGTTCTTGGTGCACAGGGTGTTATTGGTCATTCATGGGTGAATTTTGTTTCACAGCAGTGACATGCCTTGGTTTCTAGGCAGGTGGAACAAACTTCTGTTACTGTTGAATCTCTAAGCTAAAATAATCTCTCCATGGCTAGCCCTGCAGATCACATTCTCTTCCTTTTTCAAGTGAAAAAAACCTAATAAATAATGAATAACAGAAATGAATTTAGGATCGCTGAAAGAGAGATTGAAATAAAAGCCCACTTGGAGCTGTGGGTAAGAAGCAATGTGATATGTTTGTAACCCCCCCCCCCCCCGATTATGCATGTTCTAATAAATCAAATGAGGAAATTTTGTATTGTGAAGATAGCTAGGGAGGATAGTAGAGCATAAGAATGAAGAGACAACTTTCCTTAGCTATGAAGTAACTGTTGACTCATTGTATTGAGGGAATGGCACATGGTAATTGCTAGCACTAGAAGGGGATGGCTGTGTGCACTTACTGCCAGGCCTGTAGTAGCTGGCACTGTGCATGGCAAAACAGGGCTGGGCAGGGCATTCAGAACAAAATCTGGGGACAGTTTTGATACTTGCTGTTGTGGGACCTTAAGTAAATCACAATGAACTGTCTTTTCATTATCTCTTGCCCATTTTTCTATACAATTGGAGTTTTTTCTTTTCCATTTTTTTCTAATTCTTTTTATTTTTAAAATATATTTTATTGATTCTTTACAGAGAGGAAGGGAGAGGGATACAGAGTTAGAAACATCGATGAGAGAGAAACATCGATCAGCTGCCTCCTGCACACCCCCTACTGGGGATGTGCCCGCAACCAAGGTACATGCCCTTGACTGGAATGGAACCTGGGACCTTTCAGTCCGCAGGCAGATGCTCTATCCACTGAGCCAAACCGGTCAGGGCTCTAATTCTTTTAAAAAAATATATTTTTTATTGATTTCAGAGAGGGAGAGAGAGAGATAGAAACATCAATGATGAGAGAGAATCATTGATTGGTTGCTTCCTGCGTGCCCCACACTGGGGATGGAGCCCACAACCCAGGCATGTGCCCTGACCAGGAATCGAACTGTGACCTCCTGGTTCATAGGTCAGTGCTCAACCACTGAACCATGCTAGCCGGGCCATTTTTTTCTAATTCTTAATACTTTATGACAGGCATCACAGGTAATTTTTTGTTTTGGTTTTTATATCTCAGACTCTCTTCTGGTGTTTTTATCATAATAAATTTATAAATATGGACAGAAAGTGTGTCAAATTGAAAGCCATGTGATGGAGGCATTGTAGAAATGGACCCTCCTTCCCAGTGCCCAGTCAAATCACAGCTGACTTGCTGACCATAATCTCATGGGAGATAGAGTCAGAATCACCCAGCTAAGATGCTCTTGAATTCCGATGCAGAGAAACTGTGAGATAGTAAATGTTATAGTAAATGTTGTTTTAAGCCACCAAGGTTTTTTTTGAAGAATTAACAGCAATAGGTAAGTAATATATCTATTAATTAGTTTTCCTGTGAGCAGAGCACATTAGATTTTAATATATTTGTATCTCTTGCTGCTCAGGGTCTATTCTTTGATTCTGTTCTGGCTCTTGGCTATAGTTCAGATAACTGAGGTTATAGGATACTAGAGGCCCAGTGCACGAAATTCATGCACTTGGGGGGGGGGGTCCCTCAACCCAGTCTGCACCCTCTCACAGTCTGGGACCCCTCAGGGGATGTCTGCCTGTTGGCTTAGGGCCTAAGTCAGCACTCAGACATCCCTCTCACAGTCCAGGGCTCTCGCAGTCCGGGACCCCGCACTCCTCAGTAGTGGAGATGGGAGAGATCCTGCCACCACCACTGCACTCGCCAGCCATGAGCCCAGCTCCATGCTCCATGCTCCCCTCTTTCCTCACAGGCACGCATCTCCTAAATTCTAAAGGACCCCACAAGGCTTGTAACCAGGGCAGCAATGGGCAGTGGCAGTTCATCTGGAACAAACTCCCTGAACCTCTCTTCAAGGCCCCTTTTCTGTGACGTTTTAGTGAGCCAATGCAGTACAGCGTAGGCTCATTTCCTCAGCCCTTCCTGCTTTCTTGTCCCCAGCTTTTTTTTTTTTTCAAATCCTCACCTGAGGATAGTTATTCCATTGATTTCCAGAGAGAGTGAGGGGGCTGGAGGGGGACAAGAACCATTGACAGGAGAGAGACACATCCATTGGTTTCCTCCCCTCTCACCTCCCACCCCTCTCCCCACAGTATGAGCCCTTGACCTGAAATCCAACCCCAGGCTCTTTGGTGTTCGAGCTGACGCTCTAATCACTGCTCAGCCTGGATCCAGCTTTAATAAATGTCCTCTAAACTTCACCAGGACTTGTGTTGTGAATTTTCCCCACAAACTACCGGCTGGCCCTAGGCCGACCCGCTCAGGGCCAGGTCCCCTTTTGGGTAGCAGCACCAGGCCTGGGTTTGTAGCACACATTCCTGCTTTTGGTCCAGTGTCCCGAGTGAGGGCTGCGCGGCTCTCCTTCGATGCGGCTGTGACCGCCCTTGTCCCCAGAGAGTGGCCTGGTTGGGGACCAGGGCTCTGGAGGCGGTGCTTGCTCGCGGCCGCACCACGCCTCTCCCGCTGGAAGGCGCCCGCGAAGGCTCAGCAGCCCGGTTCACAGAGAGCCGGCGGCTGCGGTTCGACCTAAGAGACACCGGCGTCCGTC